AAGGCGCAGTTCGTGCATCCATCTTGCTCAGCACTGACCCCGGGGGTGTTTGCAGAGGCCAGATTGGGAGCCTGGGAGGTCGCTGACTCCCTCCGACTCCAGGGACAGGAGCGAGCAGCAAACTGGACAGAGGCTCCCCTGGCGCGCCACGACCTGTGTCCCAGGGAGGGCACAACTGGAAATGGAAACCCACTAGAAAAGGCTGGGCCCGATTGGAGCAGTAGAAGCTGGATTCCTCTGGGTTCCTGTAAGGGAAATGGGTAGGTACCCACCTACATACGCCCTGAGGATTATGGGAGAAAAATACCTTCCTTCTGCAAATGGGCTCAGATCAGCTCCCTCCACCAAGGGCTAATCCTTAGCTTATTTCTTCCAGATCCCTCTTTCTACCATTCCTCTCACTACTCTTGACTCCTAATCTTGAGGTACCTAGGCTGCCCTTTTCAAAGGGACTGTTCATCATTCACCTAGGGGAAGGGGAGGGAGTGATGGCAAAGTGCAGCCTCCTCTCTACCTTGAGACTATAGCTCTTCGAAGGTGCAGCCAGCCCAGCAGAGCTGTAAAAAGTGAGGTGCAGGGACTGCTGACATGTGTTTTCAAGATTTCAAGTCCTGGGCCTGATGTGCAACAAAGGGACTAGGGCACATATGCACGGAGAAGGCATACACACACTCCATCAAAGTGCTGCCCTTCCTTAGTCTCAGGACCCAACAGCAGGTGGGTTTGGGAGAGGAACCCTGAGGGTCCTCTAAGGAAAAAGGGTAAACACTTGCAGGTTGTGTGAGAGTTCCACACATTCACATCTCGCTCTGACTTTGTTGGGGGAAAACTCCAGCAATCTGCACAGGTAAAGACTGGAGGCCCTGAAATCCGATAGAAGCAGTTGTAATCAGAATGGACAAGGTGACACACCACGGTATCAGTGGAGGTGACAAAATCTTAGAGTTAAGGAAACATGCCTGGCTGCCTGGGGTTTAAGGGAGGCACTGAAAAGGAAAGGGAGAGAGTGACACAGAGAAGAGTTTACAAAGATAGCCTTCTGCTATCTGAGCTAGGAAACCAAGGGATTGGTGGTCCAGCTCAGGCTGGAGTCTTGGTCACCTTTGAGAGGTACAAACCTGGGCCTCAGAGCTTTCTGAAACTCATTGCCAGTCTGAACCGACTCATAGTGGATCTCTGGTTCAGAGGCTGTAAATCACATTGAAGAACATACCCCATCTTTCTCCCACGGAGGAGCTGGTGGATTCCAGCCATCTGATTAACAGTGCAACTCCTTATACCTCCCTAGGCCCCTGAGTTGGGAGATGGAAAAGTCCCCTAAAAGATCTGGTGGAATGAGCCTGTGTGGACCTCACCACTTTGTCTTCCTAAATGTTATTCTTTTGTGACAGAGAAGGCTTGGTAAAACCTGGAGGGGGGACATGTCATAGTATCTCTGCCCACAAGCTTCTCCTGGTCCTTTTAGACATAATGTCACATCTGGATCTTAAAGGACATCCTATTATTTCTGGATAGAATGAAAAGTTACGCTAAGTTTGCGAACTATCACTCCCCTCACACCACACACACACACACACACACACACACACACACACACACACACACACAATTTAAATCTAAGAACCAATTCCAGCCTTGCAGCCAATTCATCTTGTTTCCACAAAAGTAATTAGAGAATTTAATGGGAACTGTGATGCTTATAAGTCTGTGTGACTCACACCCCAGGCAGAGAAGAGCGGAAATGTTTCTTCCCAAGAACCACCCCCCCACACACAGCCCTCCCAAAATGTCTTGCAAGTTTAAAGCTAAAACGTCATTCTCAGTCTCTTTGCCAAAGGAGTTGTTGTAACCTATAAGAAAAAAGCGTATTCGTTTTAGAAGATCTCTTCCCTAGAGTAGGAAAATTCCAGGTACTTTTTGATGCGATCCCCTTGAGAGCTAACCCCACTGGCTCTTGAGATTCCCCACTGGCAGTAACAAGGGGTCCACTGCCTTACAGCACAAATTCAAAAACCAAGTGTGGTCTTTTCCTATTCCTCCAGCACTTTTGTTTAAGTCCCACCTCTAGAAAAATGTATGAAGCCCAGCGGCCAAGCTGGTGGTAAAGACCTTTCTCAGAAACCGAAAAAGAAAAAAAAAAACAAAAAAACAAAAACACACACACACAACAAAAGCAAAAAAACCCCGAAAACTTTGTTGCCACATTGTGGATTCCAACATCCAGTGAAGAACTGTCCTATACCGTTCCCAAGACTATACTCTTTCCAAGGAAACAGCCTTATTTTTCATCCTGCAGAGTGAACTTGAACCTGCAACCTTCGTTTTAGTAGCCTAGTGCTTACGCACTGCACTGTCAGGACTGCTGTCCCCAGGCCCAGGCCTTTGGAAAAGAAGACTCAAAAGCAGTGAGCGACTCAGGACTGATTGATGAAACTTCTCTCCCCCCCCCTCCTCTGTTTAAATAATAAACTCACCGGGAAAGGCTGGAGGGCCTTGTGTTGGTTTCAAATAAATCCTCAGCCAAGGCCTTTCCTCACCCAGAGAAATGAATCACCCCTGGGAAACAGACGATTATTCCCCCATTTGTCTGCCTAAAATCAGGGGAAATCAGCACTTTCCCCTGCGACTTCAGTCTTTCTCCTGTGGGAGGGGAAATGGCAGGACGAGAAAGGGGCTGGGGTGGGTGGGGGTGTTGGGACCACAGATAAGCGGGTGCTGAAGGGGCAGCTCCAGGGACGACGTGAAGCCTGGCAAGAAAGGGTGCTTATTTCTCAGGGCAATCCGGGGGCCTAGAAATCCTGCGCCAGACCGTCGGAGCGCACGGGGAGGGCCAGGGGCGTCCCACGCTAGACGCCAAGGCAGAGAGTTTATCCTCTACCAGGGCCTGGGAACTGTCACCCCAGGTATCCATCAGCAGGTGTGGGTGCTGGAGAGCGGCCCTGCTGAGGCCTCCGCAGAAGCCGAGTCTGCGGGGTACGCGTCCTTCAGGGTTCGGTTTCCTTCGTGGGAACCAGAGGCGCGTGTTGTTGGGGTCGCCATCTCCAACGCCCCAGAGCTTGTTCTCTTTCACCTACAAACAGAAACTCTCTCGCCGGCTGGCAAAGGATTTAAAAGCCTTTTGGGGGAGGGATGGAGGCCAGAGAAAAGCAGGCTGCATGAAATTGACTAAAAGGACCCTCATTTTAGTGGCTGTTTATGCAGTAGGCGCTCAATTCTATTCTACTGGCCGGACCAGCAGCTCCCTGAGGCGCAAGAAGAGCGGTTCCGGGTGTAAATTTTGGAGACTTGGAGACTTCTCACCTTACAAAGCAGCGGAACTGCCCCTCCCTCTGCACGCGCTCGGGGGCCGCGTTTTCCTCGAGCTGTGAGCATTTCTTTAGGATCCTTTGCTGACTTTTTAAACACGTCAAGGATTTTAAGTTACTTTTTTTGATTAATGCTGCAAGGTCAATTGAAAATGGAAAAATTTTAAAAAAAAAAGTTAACTTACAGCTCCGTTTTCTTGGTCACCAACCCAGCCGGCAGCGCAGCGACCGCTCCGCCTCTCGTTTCCTGTCACTGTGTGCTTCGTGATTACTTTTTCTAAATCTCAATTGCTTAGTTTATGAGGGTCTGGTTACTGGAGAGAAACAAGGAGCGCAAATAACGCAAGATAACGCGCGGGGCTTGTGCATGTGAGTCTCTTATGAAGCACATGTAGCTAATAATTGATGCCAATTTACCCAACTCCTTTCCCTATAAACGACCAGGGCTAGGGGGGATTCTTCGCTTGGGACCACCCTCCAGCTCCCGCAGCAGCACCCAGATTGCACTTCTCAGGCCCACAGGAAGTTCTTTCTGCAGCGTCTCCAACCTCCAAGATTTTAAGCAAAGGCAAAGCCAGAATGTAAAGTTCTTTTTTATTTGAAATCTCGTCCAGAAACACTGGTTATTAATAAATATAGCATAGTTATCAAGAATATATAAAAAATAAAGACAGGGATCGTCTTTGAGGCCCTAACAAAATATTTCAAGCAAATGTTCAGGAAAATGAAATCGGCACGCCTCCCGGAACCGCGGTGAAGTTTTCAAAGCTGAAGCTGGAGAAAGCCAACCCCGCATGCTGAGTGAATGGGCGCTTAGAGGGGTGGGCCAGCGACTACTGGGGGCCACGCGCTGGCGAAGGGGCCCCGGCCAAGCGGAGGAAGGTTTGCAATGGAGTTTGGGGGTAAGGGGAAGAGGCTCGTGTGCGTGAATGAGGGTCTTTGCACCTTACCCCCCTTTTTCATTTCATACAACCACAGACAGATATATGGGGTACTCAGATAATCCACTAATAAATCCTTGTTACAAGGAAAAGGGGAAAAAAGGCGCCGGGGCCCACACAACATGTTTAGACAAGATTCATTTAGAAGCCTGCATGCATTCTTCTGACCTACACTGCGCAGGAAGTAAGAAAAACAAAAACCCAAACTCTGGCTCAGAGGTGAGGTTCACAAATTGTGTCTGGATGTCTCTCCCTCCCTCCCTCCGCTGTCTCTAGAAAAAGTACAGCAAGATCAGCAACGAGTGTAATTGCATCCGCCTCCAGGATATATTTACATTCGTTTTGCCTTAAAGGGAGGGTCATCATTTTCCCCCAGGAGAACTCAAGAGCGAGAGGAGCCCACTCGGAAATCCCGCCACAAGTTTTTCACGACATTGATCTAGTCTTTATACAACAAATGTAGTTTTGACAAGAGTATATGGCAGTGAGAAATGTGGGCGCCGTAAGGGGGAAAGAAGCATGCATGCAAACACAGGGCGTCTGGTCCCCCTTCACGACCACCTACATACAAATTGCAGTTTGGTTTTGATCCGTTCCCTCCGAGGGGCCAGGTGGGGTGGGAGAACTCTCCTAGAGTGTGGGTGGCCGGGGGACCCGCACCGGCCTAGCGCCCCAGCTCCCCTCTGAACTCCCGGCCCAGCGACCCCGCCCCGGTGATCGCCCCTCTTCTCCCTCAGCCGGGCGGGCTCCCTGCTCACTTGAGCAAGTCCTTGGACTCAGCAGACAGCCGAGCCATGTTGGCGGTGGAGAGCGCGGACAGGTGCGGTGGTGGCGGCATCTGGCAGATGGTGCAGGGGCAGGGCAACCCGGCCCAGTGCTGGAAGCCGCTGCCCAGCTGCAGCGCGGGCGGCGTGGAAGGCGCCTTGAGTAGGGAGTGGGGAGGCCGGATGGTGCCGATGGTGGGCAGGGAAGCTGCGGACAGAGGCGAGGAGGCGTTGCCGGAAGAGAGCGCACCACCCAAGATGGGATGCACCGGGTGCATGGTGTTGGCTGCATGCGCTGGGTGCCCGGCAGAGTGGCCCACGGTCCCGCAGTGGAAGGCCGAGTGGTGGCCCCCGTAGATCTCGCCTACCAACCTCTTCATCTCCTCCAGGGAGCTAGTGAGCATGAGGATGTAGTTTCTGGCCAGCAGGAGCGTGGCGATCTTGGAGAGCTTGCGCACCGAAGGCCCGTGCGCGTAGGGCATGACCTCGCGCAGCCCGTCCATGGCGAGGTTCAGGTCGTGCATCCGCTTGCGCTCGCGCCCGTTGATCTTCAACCGCAACTGCTGCAGGTCCTGCTCCGACAGCTGCTTCTTGATTTTGTACTTGCTGCTCTCGCCCGCAGCCTTGGCGCCAGCCCGCGACAGACTTTCCCCGGGCATCTTCTGCACCAGGTCGCCTTGCGTGGATGAAACGGAGTTGAGACGGCTCTCTGGGTGGTGGTGGTGGCGATGGTGGTGATCCCGCAGGTACATCTCATCCATGTCCGGAGACGAAGCTCTGCTAGAGACAGAGCTCGAATCAGAATTCATCTTATTGCAGGAGAAGCGGCCCTACCGTCGGGAGACTTTAGGCGGGAAATCAAAGGAAAGGAAATCTTGAATTAAAATAGAAAAGTCGCAAGCAGGGCCCAGCAACCCACTGCTCTGCCGCAAGACATAAGAAGAAGGAAACCCAAGGCGCCGCCTCTCCCCGCCTCTGTCCCTCCCCTCTCTCTCCGCTTAGGATGCTTCCTGGACAGCTAGATGGTGTGTGCTTGAACTAAGCTCACCCTAGAAAAAGAGGGGCTTTTATAGAGCTGCGGCGGAGAAAAGAAACAAAAGGAGCCCTCCTATCTATCCTGGGCTGGTTAGGATGACGTGCCATCATTCAGGGCGGTGCGCTTTGCTGTCCCATTTAGCCAGGATTCCTATTCATATTCATTGTGCGGCCGCCCTGGGACACCTCTGCACCGAACCGCTAGGAGCCCCCAGGCACAAAACCCTTGGATTGACACACACACCATCCAGCTCACGCCTTCCGATCTTTTTTATTTTCCTTCCAAACTTTCCTCTACCCCACCCCCTTCCGCAGTTTCTGCAAAGAAATCTCACGTCGAGAGCCCAGGGATGGAAAGGGAGCGAAACCAGGCTTCCTCTAGGTTTCAAGGGGGAAATAAAAACATTCTTTCTCCATCCCTTTTTCCACAGCTACTTCTAAGTTGAGAGAAACGCACTGGGCAGAGAGGTCCGGATGGTAAGGTTTGAAGGACAGACGGGAAGGTATGAGCGTGTGGAAGTGAAGGGAGGGCGGGCTCAGAGGCCCGTCTCCAAAGTTGTTCTCCTTCGGTTCTTCTTTCCTCAACAGTGCCATTCGGCTGATTTTGTTCTTTGGAGCCTTCTGGTGGAGTTTGAACGGGATGCTTGTATCTGGTGAGGAGTTTGTCCTAATTCTTATTTAGGGCGAAAAAGAAAATGAGAGAAAAGTGTTTTACTATCTACTTTTTTGTTTGTTTGTTTTATAAGAATAGATTTGTCAAAAGAATTCCAGCTTTGCTCAGTTCTTTTATCTCTTTGACCTAGAATTGGGAAAAAATCCAAACAAAAACACGCCAAAACCCTACCAGTCGGAAGGAGTCGGAAAGGAGCCGGGAAGGGGGAAAGACTTTAGGGATTGAAAAGTCTGCTGAAAGAGGAGAGGTTTGCCTCTCTGGTTTCCCTTCCGCCCACTGCCTCGGGCGCTGGCTGAAGAAGATCTCAGCAGGCCGGCCTCTGGCCGCAGGGCAGGCGATGGGAGAGCATCTGCAGCTCAGCGCCAGTCCTGGCTGCTAGGGTAGGTCCACAGGGCTCGGGTCACCCCTCGACGGCAGCCTGGGGAAAAGAGGGGACTCAAGACTGGACAGTAAACTACTTTGGGGGCGGGGGATGTGTTTCCAACGAAATGGTCTGGAAAGCCCCGCGCGGCTGCTGCCATCCAACGCAGCAGGGTCTACGGATAAGGAGGCGACCTGGAGGATTACGCACTCCACTTTTTTAATTCCTTGCTGTCTTTCTTGAAATCAATTTGGCTGAGGGGTGAGGAAACAGATATGAAGGGAAGGAAGAGTGCCCGGGGAAGAGACTCCTGGAAAAACCTGTGGAAAACCTGTGGAAAAACCTGGGCTCTTGGAGCAGCCGGAGACAGATGCTAGCTGTGGCTCTGGGTCTGGGTGAGAAGCCCAAACTCCAGTCCACACCGGAACTGCAGACTGTTTGGAGCCTCAGACTGCGCCCTGCAAGTCTGTAGAATTCTTGAGGAAGAGAAGGGCCCAGTTTCCACAGACACAAATTGGGCGTCCGATGGCAGAGGGCTGAGGCCCAAGTCTCAGAGTTTACTCATTCTGCAAGGCTCGAGCACCCTTGGCAGGACCAGCCGGGTGGGGAGACAGAACCCTGAAAAGATGCATTTTTCACACCGAACTTGGCTTCTCTAGAATAACGAGAAAATGGTCAACAGTCTCTCCTTAAGGCCAGAAAAGGAAGGTTCTTGGAGATTGATCTTAAAGTCTCCTGTTTTTTCCACCTTGGCAGGAGGAACACATAGCTTGAAAGATGGAAAATTTCTTAACACAAAGAATCTAAGGGATTCAATCACAGATGGAAAAAGATATGCAGATGCACCCCAATATCCAAGTAAATAAAGGTCCTTATTTTATCAGGTGTCTCCCTTTAAGCTAAGTTAGTGACATCCTGCTCTGCCATACTGCTTATGCGAGTTTCAAGTCACACATTTTCTGACACTGCCTCCCCATTGCAGCCTCCCTTACAGATCAAGTCGAGGTAGAAGGGGGCTCATGCCTCCAAGTAAAAGCAGCTTTCCAACTCTTGGGTAGGTTCAAAGACCCATGCTAGCTCCCTCTGTCTTCCCTGTCAATTTGCTGACCCCTGGGCAACCAAAGACTGCTTTTTCAAATAGAATGTGCTGCATCTCTGTTTTGTTCTAGGAAAGTGGTCAGGTCTAGTTGGAGCAACAGCGTTCCATTTGGAGCATGATCACGCTATTAAAAGGCTTGTCCCCTGAAAAGACCCCATTCGTTTTCAGTGCAAAATATGAAGGGAAGGTTAAAGTATCCCAGGAGTTAAGAAGGGGGGGGGGTAGTCTTCCTCATGAAAGCTGAACGTGGGGAGCTGGACAGGCAGAGTCTGGGGTTGGGGGCAGTTCGGGAACTCAGAATCAGAAGCACTTCCCCCTAGCCACTGTGTTTTACATTTCTCTCAGCAAGAGGTGGTCATTCTGGAGCAGCCACCAAGCCCCCAATCAGCTTGGCTAGGCCAGGAAGGGTGCGGGGCCTCAGCACACACAGACCAGACTGCCAAAGAGCTATTAGCTCCAGTTCCCCTGAAGTGACAATTCTCCTGGGTCCTAGATGAGTCCTGCTCTGTCCTAGACCAGGTCAGCGTGCACCCTCTCCTCCACTGTCTGCTGTGCTCAGCTTTTCTGAAGGGCTGTCCTGTGTGAGTATGTGGTGGTCCTGTGTCCCAGACTCCTTTTATGGAGAAGATCCAGGAATCATGGGTTTCCTAGCATACTTGTTACCCCATTCTCAACCCCTCAGAGGGATAGCCAAGGAGAAGAAGTAAAGGAGTTAGAACTTTACACACTGTAAGATGAGTTGATACTTCCCAGTGCCCAAAAGCCACCTCTGATGCACTGACCCACCCAAGAAGTTTCTATACTTCCCACCTCTTCTCAGTACTTTGGGATTAATTTTGGACCCAAGGATAGATAGGCGATTCGGGGAGGTGACTTACTCTGATTCATTGTTTGTCTAAGGTTGCTTGTCCCTTTGGCCCCTAGGGCGCAAGAGGGGATCAGACCGTAGCAGTGTTTGGCAAAGGGAATGCTGTAGCTCAAAGGGGTCTCCTTTAGGGTCACGCAGTGACCTTGGCCCTGGCCGAGGCCCATTCAGAACGTCCAGGCAGGAGCCTAGCAAAAGCCTGCGGACTGCGGACTACGCTTCCCAGTGGCACCCACTCGAAGGTTCCCTCCGGGGAGATCAACGCAGGTGAAGCTGGGGCCGTTTTCTGGCAACAGGTGAGACCCAAGGCTAAGGAAGTGTTTCCCCTCCATGCTGGCCTTGGCTCTGGGCAAAGCTGCCAGTTTCTCTTCCTTTGTATGACAGGAAAGCAGCAGCGGGGATCAGTGAGCCGGAGAGGCGTCTGCTCTCTCCAAGCGCCCTGGGCGCACGACCTCGGTACCGGAGCTCCGTGGAGTGCGGGCCTGGTTCCTCCACCCACTCCCGATCACTCACTTTGGGGGATGCTCAGGCCTTCTCGACATCTTCCACCCCTAGATGATCAGAAGCAGTTACTTACCCAAAGCCCAAAGAGTGTTGCTGCACGCCCGCGCTGAGATCCTCTCTGCCCGAGGCGACGGTGATCTCGGCTCAAACGCGAACCCCTCTGGCTCTTCTAGAGCCGGACAGCAAACGTCGCTGTCGCTGACTTGCTGGTGTGTACGGACAGTCACTGGTCCAGCAGCAAACTTGACCGTCAAGAACTTTGACCGAGTCCCAAACTCTGGAAGCGGCCTGGGATTCTCATCTCTCAACCTACCCTCCTCGACACACACACAAAAAAAGAAGCAAAAAGAGTAAGATGTGTGGTCACATCCCACCTGAGGAACAGCGGGCTTCAGACCAGCTGGCCTTGGAGGGAAGGCTCAAGAACTACTTAATTTTTTTCAGCAGAGTACAGTTTCTTTAAAACAATAGCATTGGGGGCAAAGTCTTTGGGTTTGGGGTTATTAGATTACTCAAAGAACGTATTTTTTAAAAAACCCAGAAAAACCACACAACACAAAACCCAAAAGAATTCAATGCAAAAAGAAAGGAGGGGGGCGGGGGAAGGAAAGTCAAAACAGATCTCAGACAAGCAGAAATGAAGCGAGACCAAGGTACTGCTCTCCCAGGCTGGCCTTCGAAGACGCCAAAATGAAAATTTCAACATTGCAACAGGGGGTGTCAGGATCCAAGATGTCCAACCTGAGCAGAACAACTAAGGTGCTTCCCTTTGCTGGATTTCTTCATATTTTACATATTTTCTAAAATATGATCTGTCCAATATTTATTTCCTTCTTTCAAACAGAAGAAAGAAAATCCCATTTTTGCATACATAAGGAAAAGAACAGAAATCAAGAGACAGCCAGTTTTACGATGTCTTAGAAACTGTCTTTTGCAGGATTGAATGTGAGATTTGGAGGATTTGGGCAAGTCCCTGAACAGCATAAAATGATGGAGTGCGGCTAATTATGCGAATATATGGACAAGCTAGCACACTGGCAGAACTGGAAGTTTGATTTTAATTATGCCTAAACAGAAAGGCTGGCCAGAACTTACACATTCATCACCATCGTTTAAAAACGCTCTCAAGGCAAAGGAGATATGAACCTGTGGGTTCTTTTCCAGAATTCTGCTGAATTAGTGGGCACACTTCAGGGTTGGTTTCCACACGCCCACCCCTTTATTTCTCCTTTCTGGTAACATCTGCTCAATTGCCAAGACCTCTGTTGAATT